ACTTTTTGTTTTGCTTTTGAAGCAACATCAGTGTTATTTTACCTATAAAACAATATATGGTTGTCATGCATGGATCTGTTTTGTTAATCCAGTGTTCTTTCACCAATGAAGCAACACATGAGAGTCTATTTTAATAAAACGGTTTGTTTCACCAACAAAACAACACATGTCATTGATTGTTTTGAGTACAATGTCGTTTCACGAAACGAAACATTACATCATTCAGTTGATTTCAAATGGGAAATTCGTTTACTTGTATTTTGTGTTTCACAAACAAGTCAAAAAAGTTCACATTATGATTCGAATACATGTGAAACAATCAAATTGTGAATTAAATATATGTTAATCATCATATTAAATTTTAATTATAAAAAATCATATAAAATATCATATGATGCACTGGTTCTCAAGGTTATCATAATATAATGGTTATTAATGTAGTATATATATATACATATATATATATATGTGTGTGTGTGTGTGTGTGTACACTTTTGTAGATGGTATATATGTATATTTTTCTTAGTTATGTAGAGTCTAAAGACTATAACCTTTGTATATATCATTTTCTTTAGGAATGGCAATGGGCCGGGTTCGAGCCGGGTATTGGTATCCCCGTCCCCGAAACCGATAGCTAAAACCGTCCCCGTAATCGTCCCGATCCTCGTCGGGGATCTTATAGGGGATCCCCATCAGATCCCCGCGGTTTACCTGATCCCCGTTGGGGAACCCGTTAAGGGTAAAAATTCTCTTTTTCATCGTTGGTTATAAACGAACCCGAAACCCGAAACGGAATGAAAAAAATTACAATATGTTATGTTTCACAATAAAAAGTAAATTACAATTTTTTTAAGATCTAAGTTTAAATGTCTCAAACATAATTGAACCAATTACAAACAATGTATTAGATTACAATATAAAACTAAACAAAAATTCGAACATTATACAACTAAAATCACGGTTTTTGACAAATAAACTAGATTTTTCGTGAGCTTTATTTGGGTTGTTGAGGTAAAGTGGATAATTTTTTTAAAAATTTTAATGTTACTTTTTTTAAAGATATTATATATATATATATATATATATGTATATAAATTAAAATAAATAAATAAATATATATATATATATATATACATATCGGGCCGGGCCGGTGATCCCCGTCCCCGTCCCCGTTAAAATCCCCGAATTCGTCCCGGATCCCCGTCCCGTCCCTGATAAAATGTCCCCGAACCCGGCTCGAAAGTTTCGGTTTTCGGTTTTCACCGTCGGTTTCGGTTTTTTTTGCCATCCCTAATTTTCTTTTTCCCTTTCCTTGTAATTTGACTTTTATTCTCTTCAATAATAGGATGGCTGCCAAGCTATATGCCCGACATCTTTTTCATTAATCCAACCCTATATCAATTATACTTATAACTAGTGCACGATAACAAATTTTTTTTAGGAAATACTAAAAGCGTACTCGCGCAATGCAGCGAGATACATCGTGATTTTAATATTTCATTTTATTATTTATCTCAGCCGATGTTATAATATGGTTTTATGTGATTTTGAGAAATCGATGATGTTTTTATTTTTGAATAAAATATATGTTTGAAGATATCATAAAAATTTGACAAAAATATATCGATATTAGTATCAAATTAATTATTTG